CAATGGAAATGGTACTGACATCACTTTGCACTTTAACAATCGGATTTGGTCAGGGTACAAGTTGTTTGTTTAACCCGACAGCTCAGTGCACCCCGTCGCACGCTTTGCACACTCATTAAAACGATTATTCACGACCTGTCGAGTGTTTTCGGGTTCATTCACAGGAAAGGCTTGGAGCGAGGGAGAGCAATTCAAGTCAACACTGTCCACTACCCCGATGCACGTGAGGACGAGCTGGTGTGTACGAGGGGGGAAAAAGACGAGGGAGGGGTTGGTGAGTACGCCTTAGCTATAAGACCTGTTCATCGATGCTCTGGAATCTCAATATCTACAGAATGCCAAGAGTGCTTGGTCCTACAGGGCCCATTCCACTAGTTTAGCTTCAAGGGCTTGGCACGGGCACAGAAATATAAAATATGGCAAATAAACAGACTCCAAACTTTGCCTCTGCTCCTCCTTTCAACCTTTGGAAGAACTTTAGGTCCCAGGACTAGCCCACCTGCCAGTAGCCTTCAAATGCAACACCACCTCTCACAGCGCAGACGCTGAGGATAAGTACTTTCAGGAAAAATCGACAGGGTGAGGAGTTTAATTCCTTTTCCATCTTCCAAGGTCTTTCCTTCTTAAAAAGAATTTGGTTAATTGCCTCTTTCTATATTCCTTGCAGTGACTAGGAGGAGGAGGGCCTTCTCAAAAAAAAAAAAAAAAAAAAAGAGGAGAAGAAGAATAGGACCTTTTAAAGTATTTGGTTGGTAGATGTATTCCAAACTATTAGCATGCAAGGATTCATCCTTCATGCTGGGAGAGAAAGTCCTAAAGAAGGTGAAATCCTGGATGAATTAGACTATATTTTGTAATGGCAATAAGAGAAGCACAAACATGAAAAGTGTCTTATTCTCCCATAATTGCCTTGTACTTATAAAGGGCACACTATATGGTCTTTAGGGGTTTGTTGTTGTTGTTGTTGTTTGATTGTTTTTCTGTTTCTTCAAATGAGCCTGATAAACAACATTCATATGAGATATTAGTTGAAGAGAAATACCTATTTTCATAAGATATATGTGCTAGGTAACAGAATATATATATAAATGCATACAAACATTTAATAGACTCAAAAACTCCAGAATGTCTTGTTTGGTATTAAGTATCCCTGGCATAATTTCGAGTTAACAGTGTTTTAAATTGAATGTCTTATATCTATGTTCAAATGATTGCTCCTTGTTTTTTCATTTATAGCATTAGTAAACCCAATGGCCAGCTCACTGTTATGAGGGTAAGCCAAATGAGTCAATTCTCACTCATGATTTTCATTCTATTAAAGCTGATATCATAAAATCATTTTTTTCTATTTTATTGAGATGAATCATCAATACAATAGGTGAAGAAAATTGTGGAAGGTTTCAAGCTGCAAGAGATTTTAATCAGAAACAAATTCCTAATTGCTAAAAAGCAAGTATGAATAAGTAATTTTGTAAACTCATTGGGTTGCTATAATTCACTATCAGGTTTACTTAAAATGGATCTGTCAAGTATGTTTCGCTTCCCACATAAGCACCTTCATTAAAAGCAACCCACGATAATAATCAAGAGGCAGATGCAGAAATATGTAAGTAAATATCTGAAAGCCTCTGCATAAATAAACACAAATCAATGTAGTAATAGACAACACTATTGATGTAGGAAAGATCGATTTTAGTCTTCCAACCTGCAATCAGAGCTTGCAATGTATAATTAAAAGTATATTTTTCAACTCCACTAATACTACTACTATTGGGGAAATAAATAAATAAATAAACAATACTTGCAGCGAGTTCTACCTTTCTACTTTATCTTTTCTAGAGTATTTTTGAAGGGGTGGGAGGAGTACTCTATTTTTTTCTAAGGAAGATTTGCCAACCTTTAAAACTACATCATTAATTATAGAAATTATTAAAGTATCAAATAATGAAATTACCACCTTATTCTTGCTCTAAATTTTCAACCTTCCTCCCAGCCTCTAATTATTCATTCAGCACAGTGTAATAGAAAAAAATACACAATAGTGCTCATTAATTTAAAAAACAAAGATTTTTTTTTCAACTACCATAGTACCTTTAGGATTAGAGATTCTTTGGACCTTTTGTCAAAATGAATGAGAAAGATGTCATTTCCTCAATATACCATAAAAGCTTTCTCACCTATCTCTGAGTATATGCAAACATAAAATAAAAGGGGGAACCTACATAATTCTAAAATTGATTTATATAATGACTGCAAAACAAACAGTGGCTGACTCAAAGAAATCAATCTACATTGGATTTCTAGAAATTCGCATCTAAAACAATGTTTCAGATTTGTTAAGAATTAAGTTTTCCTTTCAAGAATATTTATCCCTGGAGGGCAGAAATGATTTAAATTAGCAAGCATGAGTGTGTGATGAATTTAAGTATTTAGTTAGGTTCTGGAGAATGAACATAGTCTTCTCATTTCTTTTTAATTCGTCAATGGAGATGCTTATTTACATTCATCCTTGAGTCTAGGCTTCTAGAGCATAAGTCTTTAGAAGAATTTCCTACTTAAGAAATTCAGCTCCTTTCAAAGTGATTTTCCATGAAATATCACCACACATAAATATCGATTTTGATTATCTTTGTCATAGTGCATGACCAAGCATTCTGCTTGACGACTCTCTTTCCCATCTAGGGCCAAGAATTCAGGGGCAACCAGACCCAAAAGGAAAATATCATCAGTTATTGTTTAGGTCTAATTTAACAGATAATTTAACTTCAAACAACAATGATCAGGTCATTAAATTTCAGAGGAATGAGAAAATGAAAGAACTGAGAGACAACTCTCCCTTAACCCCATTACAGTTTTTAATCTTCCTGCTCAATCAACGGAATCAAAAACACCTATGCAGGAAGATACTCCTTAAACGTTCCTTAAACACACTGACTCAAAGAGTTGGATAATAGGAGATGAATTGAAGGAATAAAACTGAAGACAATGATTCCATTCCGGTAAGTGCTAGCAGTGTAGGAAAAGCCAACTGAAACAGATTATAAACATCGGAACATGCCCGGTATTTGAGCACGCCCTTTCATTCTGACTAGGATCTCAAACCTTTGGCTTTTCCGTAAGGGAAAAAGATCATATGTATTAGGCAACACACCACGAAAAAGACCTTCACAAATATAATTTTTTAAATTACTTGTTATATATTATTTATAATCACAATTTCAGAATTTCGGATTATCTTAAATTTCTATAGAGGACCGGGTGAGTACGGTGTCAAAGCTTAGAAATTAGCGAGGGAGGGGAGCCAAAGGGAGGACAGAGGTGTCCCAGCTCTATTCTGCATCTCCCTTTCCTTCCAGTCGCCTTTCCAAGGCTGAAGATGACCCTGGAGAATCTCCCGCACTTGAGGGGTAATCTGCCCACCCACCCGAACCCCTGCCTTTGTCTCCCCGACCCGGGGTCCCTCTTGCCGCTAAGGAAATTCCTACCTCCGAGTGTTTTTTTTTTTTTATTTGTTATTGTTGTTGTTTTCCTGTAAGGGCCCTCACCTTGGACCACAGGCTTGGGCAGAGAAGCAAAACGGGCAGAGAAAGTCATAGGGAGGGAACGGAGAAAAGACGTTTATTGTAAAGGACACGTTTTGATCAACTACCAGATGAGTGCTGAAAACTGCACCGGGTACACAAAAAGAAACAACTTTCAGAGGGAGAAAGAAAAGATAAAACCGAAGACTAAGAAGAAAGGGGAAAAAGGTAGGGATGCGCGCCAGCAAGGTTCTGGAGGAGTCAATTTTCCTGGCAGCAGCCAAAGTGAGCTACTCAACTCAAACTCGACTTATCCTGGGCAAGAGCGCCCTCGCGTTGCTGCTCCCTGCGCAGCGCCCCGCTGCACCCTCTGCGGGAATCGGTGCGGCAGGGTCCCGGGATCGCCTGTCCTCCCCAGCTGCCGCACCGGCGTCGCGGCCCCAGCTCAGTAGCCTGTTACTTCTCTACATTTGTAGGAGGGGGGGGGGGCACGAGAAAACAAGCCGCCGGGCTCCTGCCCTACGACTTGGAGCCCCTCTATGGTGTCACCTCTGCAACTTCACCCAGGAATCCCTGAGGCGTGGGAAAAGCCAATAGGACATCACAGCAAAGCCCCCAAATTCTCTCCGGGCGGAGCCAACCTGCGTCTGGCGCGAGCCCGCAGACACTCTGGGACAGCCAGGCTCTCGAGCATACATCGCTTTCTCCTAAGTGCGCATTAAGAATCAATTATTTGCCTGAGATTTCCAAAGCCGGGAACTGAGATATTCCCAGCAGGGACGAAGACAAGCCCAGAACGGTGGTGCTCATTTCCCTAGTCTTTCCACGAGCCAGGGAAGTCTCCCACACCCGTCAGGCGCCGCACTCGACTTGGAGCAGGCCGGCTAAATTTCGTAGGGACTCTCGTCCCGACCCAGGCCAAAGACTTGGAGATGTAGGGCCAGCTCTGGGGGATATTGGAAGTGTTAGTCTGAAATAGGGGGAATGAAATGTTTATTTATAAAAAAAAAAAAAAGAAGAAGAAGATGATCAAAAGGAAGAAAGAAGGAACTTCAGAGAGGTAAGTTCTTGACTTTGGAGCAAAGAGATTTATCTCAAACCGGGAGAGCAAATAATCCACATTTGAACGTTTAAAAAAAAGTCCTGTATTTCTCGCAACACCCGTAAGACTCAGAAATTTCCATAAAATGAATTACATTAGACTTTCGGGTCTATTTCACTCTCCCACCACCTTGTCCATATAGATTTGTCTTGTTTTCTATTTCCCTTTGCCCTAGGATGTACCATGATTTCTGTCAACGTGGAAAAGTCACACATTCTTTCATCTACGTCTGTTGGTAGCCCACTCGCTAGGAACATTTTTCAAGAAAAGAGAGACACAAACCCAGGAACCCAAAAAGTCGCGGTTCAAAACTGTCAAAAGCAGTCGGACATACTCCCCACCTCACCCAGTACCCTCGGAAAGGCACTTTCACTTACCGATCTTGGGGTAAGAGCTCTCCCAATTCTTTGGTCTTTTCCCACGGCATCCTTCAGACAACCTCAGGCAGAGCCTTGGGTGGAGGGAAAAAAAAAAACAAAGAGAAATCGGGAGGGAGAAAAGAGACAAAACACAACACTACATTTTATATTTGTCAGCCCTGAAGCCTCTTGGCCTACATCCTCAGGACCAGAGGAAAGTGTCAGTTTGGGGGACAAAAAGTAAGAGGTGGATTTTTTTTTTTTTAAACTACTGGTGGTTGGGAGTGGGGGGTGAGGGGTCCTGGAAGGAGGGTTGGGAATGATGATTGGGATGAAGAAAAGAAAGCTTTCTTTCTTTCTTTCTTTCTTTCTCTCTTAAGGGAACAAATGAACATTGAGAACGAAGTACTAATTGAAAGATCTTTAGCGCCTTTTAACTCTTACAGGTAGGTAGCTCTTAGGAAGAATGTAGATGTGTGTGCGTGAAAGAGAGAATCTAGATGACCCTATTCTTTCCACATCTCCAGGATCTGGCCTCAAGTAAAAACATAAAAAGGGGGCAACTTTAATTCAAATTTCACCTACCGTGCTTGTTGGATTGGATGCGCAGATTTTCATGTTGGAGAGTTCCATCTGTCTGGCAGAAGCTGAAGTGGTGTTGGGGGCAGGTTATCTGGTGAAGTAGGAATGTACAGGAACCCCGCCCTCTAGGCACAGTTACACAACCCCAGCAACCCCTCTCAGCCAGCTTTAAAACCTCTAATGATCTTCACCTTCACCCTTTGTTAGCCTAATTCTCCAACAGGATTTTAGTCTCAAACACAACTTTAACTAATCATAAAATTAATTTCTCAAAAGCAAATTATTTCAATGCATGCAAATTCCTCAACAATGATGTAGAAAATACACTTCATACCACGCTTTAGAGTCCTAAATATATTAATTTATCCACCTATTTGAGTGAAGTATGTAACAAATTAAATATATATTAAAATCAATACACTGCAAAACACATTTTTTGCCTCTCTATCCTTGATTTGATGCCAGTCAGAAACCACATGAAGGCTACCATCATCACATGGATACTTGTGTTAAGTATTGTTAGTTCTAGACTTTATGTTCATTCGATGCCCAATTTTATAACATATTAGGAAGAAACATAGTTGGAAAAATTCCTTCACTGCTCCAGTTTACATTACTTTCTCAGTGTTTTATATATTAATAGTTTAACTTTATACCAGATAAATTCGAGTAAAACACTTTAAACCTAAATGAACTATATTTGGAGATTTCAAGTTTTAAGCTGTGGTCATTTTCAGTTTGAAAATCTCAAAAAAGACAATTGCTATTTCATTAAAACTAATTACAAGTTTGAAAGAAAATAATCTTCAAAAAGTTTTGAAGTATTTTTCTGGCATGAGTTAATTTCAACTGCCAAAAATTGGTGACAAACAACACATTATGCAAAAATGTATAAATGCCATGCCAGACTGTCATGTGTGAGTTTTGTTGTTTGTTTGTTTTAGAAGATACCTTGAGGAATGATAGGATAATCAAGGTAAATGAAATGTTCACATTAGGCTTCAGGAGGCCTTCACTTTTTTCCTCTGGATACCCCCCTTCTAGAATGTCTAATAACCACATTTCTAATCATATCCATTGTATATGTAATTTGGACATGTGTCCAAACACAACTTCTACTTCAGTACTTAGTTTTAGGAATGCAAAGAAATGAATTTTACCCTTGACTTCAGAATACTAAGTTTGCCATTGAAATTCAATTTCTATCATCCAAATAAACACATAATCACAAATAAGTATAGGTATTTAATTTGACCAGAAGAAAAATACCCATGGAGAAAATCTCCTATATCTCTTTATCTCAGTACAAGAGTTTGACTTTCTTATAACTTTGGAAGGCAAAATACTGTATTACCTCTCTGGTAGCACATTCTCATTCCACAAATAAAATCCATGGCAAAAGCAAACAATAAATCATCACCTTTTTTCCAGCTTAAACACATGCCTTTCTTGGAGCTATTTTGGTTTCCAATTGTGTAATGGGGATTTCCTTTGCCTAAGATCAGCATTTGTACTCTTTTTAATCAGTCATAAATTTGGCTTTTAAAACAATAATTTGTGAAATTTTCTTTTCTGCTTCATTCTGAAGAACGGTTAAATTTCAGGAAACAGATCTTAAATGAATCTGTTTTCATGCTAAGAAAATAAAATCATATTCAGTCTGCTTAAAAGAGATAATTAAACTAGTTGGTCTATTTTTTGCCCATTCCCCATTTATGTATATTTGGTTCCAGCTCTTTTTAAATTTTCCTGGCACCTCGAGCTTGCTCCTTTGCTCTTCCCCCATCTCATTCCACAACCCACACTCAGATTTTCCAATATTAACTATTCTACATTTCAAATCCACTTCAGTCAATTTGCTTGTCCCCAAAGCTGTTTTCTTTTTTTCTTTTTTTTCCCCTCAGAGCAACTCTCTGTTTGCTGATAACATCTTAGGGACAGATTATTTTTCATTGGACCCATTGTAAGAAGCAGCCAGCTTATTGCATTACTGAAGAACACATTTCAAACTATACAACTATAACAAATGAACAACTTGTCCTCCATAGATTCTCCACAGGATCCAATTAGTTACTGAAACTTTTACTCAGGTTTTCTAATTTTTTTTTTTGAATTATAGCATTTGGGCTTTCTGAAACAATTTTTAAAATGTTTTCATTTTGTTTCATATATATGCATATATGCATAACATATGCATATTGCAAGTTAAAACAAAATTATGATTCAGTGTAAGCAAAAGGAACAAATCTCTAGATTAAATTATACAGACATTTAAAAGAGAATCAAATAAATACCTCCATGTTGTAAAAATAGGGGGAAAAGAAGAGAGGTTTTACTTCTGAATATTTAGAATTTTAAATTGTTATAATTTAAAATTAAAATATCAACATTGATCTGCAAGTCATTACAACAGGTGATCACTTCAGCAAAATCTATTGCAACTTCAGCACATCTTTATTAGAACTCTTTCATTGTGGGTAAACAGCCACAAAAATAAATGCTGACTTAGAAAGTATAAATACAAATATTTAAACAAAAATGTTTGCAGCATTCATAGCGCAAATTGTACCTGAACTGAAGGGCTCTGTGTGTCTATATATATTACATATGTGTTCATTATTCACTTCTATCTAACCATATACATATATTTATTTATAATTTGCCAAGTGCTATAAACAAGATACCTGAAACAAAATATATAAAAAGCATTCTATTAACTGTTTTAAAATAAACACAGAGTAAACAGCTATGCACATAAAATTAAATATCTCTTTTTGCTGTATATCCACAAAAACTTAAAAGATATTAGCTGAAAAGCCTATACTTTGTTTAAAGCTAGTGTTTATTTAATAGCCTGCTCCTGGTAAAATTTGCCCACAAGGGGGAAAAATACTATTTTCATTTTTAGATTCTCAGTTCAAATTAAAGGAGCAGTTTAAATTTTAATTTGGCTGAAAAAGCCTTTGAATTCCCTATAAATTGAGTGGTCTTTCAAAAATTAGCTCTACTTAATAAAGAGACAAAAGTATCAAGATATATATGAATTTAGCCTATTTTTTATTTCTGTGTGTTCATAGTAAACATTTTTGTAAGTGACAAACACGGGCATATGACCACAGTATCACAATCAAGAAATTTTAAGACAACATTAACAATCACTCAAATTTATGCGGCATTTGCGCAACACAGGTTACATATTTGCAAGGTTTACCTATAAGTACAATAGGTATTAACATTTCACTACATTTAGAAAAAATAAAAGTGACCTGTTAGTGACCACATACATCAAAATATACACAACACAAACTGAAGGCAATCATTAATTTTGTCCCCTTCCGATTCAATTGAATGGGCAGTGTTGCCAACTGAAACAACTTTCCTTTTTTGTTTGTTTGTTTTAATACTTAGTATACCAAGTGCATTTTCTAGAATCCAATCTTTGGTCTAAAAGTAAACAAAAGAAAAAAACAGTTCTTTAACGAAAAGGACAAAACAATAAATGGCCAAAATAATTTTCTTGGGCACCTTTACTACGAATGCTTCTTAAATACAAATTACAGTTTAACATTTTAAAACTCTCCCCATAATTTAGGTTGTTCTCAAGGTCTGCGTCGACCAGATAAATCCATGATAACTTATAATACTGCACACATGGAAATCTGGCGGCTCTTAGAGATAGACTTGTCAGGTTTGAGTGAAATGGCAAAGCAGTCACTATTTAGATACATATTCTACTATAATTTTGACTTCCAAACCTTATATTCTACAATGTATTCTCCCCACATTGCACCTCGCTGACACTCCACACCTTGTTAGAATAATAAACAACCCTAGAGACTGAACAAACGTACAGAAATGAGGGGGGGGGGCTTAATAAAAAATACCTGGACTTATTTTTAATTATCATTTACAATGCAAATGTGTGTAAAACGTTCACTTACAGTCTGGTCCCAGGGATGTTAATGTATTAAAGGGTTGGAAGAAGACCCCTGATTTTGATGTGTGAAATAATCAGACAGTCCCCCGGACAGTCCCGTCGTAAAACTTGGCAAAGAGGGTCTTAAAGACTCACAGGGCAGGGTCGAGGGGGCCTGCGGCGACGTGGAGGAGGACGCAGCCCTGGCGCTCATGGACGTGCTGCTCTGCGAAGTCATTGACGGGTGCGGGACGTGGGGGAAAAAGTAACTGGTCTGGCCCGCAAGCAGGTTGACGGAGCAGGGGTTGAGGGAGTAGGTCCCGGAGCAGGGCACCGACAGGCCGCAGGGCACCGAGGCGGCGAGCGCGGCGGCCGTGAGGTGGTGCGTGGCGTACGGGATCTCCCCGTTGACCAGCCGGTCCACACTCAGGCCGTTGGCTGTGGAGAAGGAGTGGTTGTTGCCCAGCGAGTTCTGAGTCAACACGGAGCTGTAGGGCATGGGGTGGCTGGGGTAGGCAGACGTGGTGCCATTGTAACTCAAAGTGCTGCTGGCGCGGGGGTGGTGCAGAGACAGGAAGGGCGACATGGGCCAGTAGAGGGAGCCGGCGCGGTCCATGAAGGTGAGGCCCGTGGAGGTGAGGCGCGCCCCGCGTTTGAAGGCCAGCTTGGCCCGCGACGTGGTGGAGCGGCGCCGCAGCTTGCCCGTGGTGCCGCCAATGAACACGTCGTCGCTGGACGGGTCCAGCATCCAGTAGTTGCCCTTGCCCGGGTCGTCGTAGTGGCGCGGCACCTTCACGAAGCACTTGTTGAGGGACAGGTTGTGGCGGATGGAGTTCTGCCAGCCCTGCTTGTTCTCGCGGTAGTAGGGGAAGTTCTTCATGATGAACTCGTAGATGCCATTGAGCGTGAGCCGCTTCTCCGGGCTCTGCCGGATGGCCATCATGATGAGCGCGTTGTAGCTGAACGGTGGCTTCTCGTACTTGCCGTTCTTCTTCTCGCCCTCCTTGCCCCCCTCCCCGTCCTTGCCGCCCTCGCCCGCCCCCTTCTTCTCCTCCCCCCCAGCGCCGGCGCCCTTCTCCTTCTCGTCCGGCCCGACGGGCGCCAGCTCCCCCGGCCCGCCGCCCGGC